GTACACAATGTTTGATAGACTAATTCCTATTTTATCTACGCTAAAATCATCTTTTATTCATTCACCATACGAAACTTGTGTAAATCCCTTCCTTCAACTATTTATTGGTTACAGATTATGCAACTTTTCTTATCTCTTTCTAAATTGATTTCACTGAATTATACTTCTTGAATGATATCTTCGACCGCTAATTTGTTTGATTATCGTTAATACTTCTACTATCTCTACTATACTATAGGATTTGAATTGACAATTGAATCTCTGTGTTAACATGGTATTGAAACTTGAACTGATCTACATAGGTACGTACGAAGTTATACGTTATAGCTGACAGACAATTACTAATTCTAGACAACTGATCTGAAACTTTTCATAATTTCTATCATTCTCACACGAGTCACCTTATCTGTTTTTGTACTTCATTTGATCTCTGTTTCATTTACTTACTTTACTTACGCCTGTTACCCCCAATGGAGCATAGGGCGCCCAACAGTTTACTCCAACCAACTCTTTCTGAGCATCCTTTTTTAGTTCTTTCCAGTTTCTGTCAATTCTTCCCATATCTTTCTCCATTTGTCGGAGTAATGTGTTCCTTGGCATTCCTCTTTCCTTCTAACATTGAGCTTTACAAGTAACGGCCTGTCCTGTGACGCAGTTCAGTGCTTTTCGTAGTGTGTGTCTTATCCACTTCCACCACTTCTTCCTGATTTCATCTTCCACTGGAATCTGGTTTAATCTCTCTCACAATAGGTTGCCGATGATAGTATGTGGCCAACGAATCCGAAGTATTTTGCGTAGGCAACTGTTCATAAATACTTGTATCTTCTGGATGATGGCTTTCGTAGTTCTCCATGTTTCCGCTCCATACAGTAGAACTGTCTTGACATTTGTATTGAAAATTCTGATTTTGGTTTTGGTTGAAAGTTGTTTGGAGTTCCAGATATTTTTCAAATGTAGAAATGCTAGCCTCTCTTTGCTGATCCACGCACTCACATCTCCATCGGATCCACCTTGATTGTGGATGATGCTGCCAATATATGTAAAGTTGTTAACGTCCTCCAAGGCATCTCCATCAAGAGTGATTTGGTTGACGTATGTTGTGTTGTATCGTAGAATCTCACTTTTCCCCTTATGTATGTTGAGACCTACACTGTTTCATCCTTCTATTTATATATGACCTCAATCCCTTACTACTAATTTTCACTACTTCAATTCTTTCCGTCAACCATATTGACTGCTTCATAAAATATATCATGAATTCATGTAATTTTTAAAGACTGTGATCAAAACTGAATAGCAATAAGTTTTCTATTTTACGAGGTTTTTGCTATTCGTGACTTGATTGGTACAATCTTGATTCGTTCGAGTTCACAACTACCATAGAATCATTCTTATCACAAGTTTGAAAAGATAAACATTTTTCGAACTTGTTTTTAACTGATGCCAATGATGTGCAGTAAAATGTTGCAATGAAAGAAACACAGAACACCAGACTGAAGAAAACACAGTCTATTGACCAAAACGTGTACACCCTAATCATAAAATATCTATTTTCAGAACTAGCGTATTCTAGGTTGACTACTATTCCTGAAGATATTCTGATGTCGTCATACATTCGGATTCAACACCCTTCGCTTCATCCGTAATTTCAAGGCGACACTCTGCTTCATACTCATTACATACTACTTATAAGCCTCTCAATACGTAGCACACACCACACTGGTATGATCATTTGGAAACTATTAGACTATATCTGATACCTTTTGTAAAATAACTAAAGTCTGTATAATTTTCTCTCGGTTTGTCCATAATCCTTGTTAGTTTCAAATCTTCTGTTCTGAAATAGTTAACAGGAATTATTTTGATATGAACTCACATTATATGTTCCACAATGTTCAATATTCTGGAGAATTATTTGAATTTAGTTTCAACTCACTTAAATATCATGTTCAGCCACTCTACTTGAAGCCAGATATAGGCTAACTGACATCATATGTTCATTTCATGGAAAGATATTTTCAATTATCAATAATTAACACAATTATGACAGAGTTCCATTCTTATTGCTTACATTGTTCTTCTACTGAACAACATCATCATCAGAACAAAACTTCCGATAGAAGAAGTGAAGTATTCAAATTTCTCCATGTGTGACTCGAAGTTTGTCCTGCTGACCTCAATCACGACCTTTCAGCTGTAGTTGTTTATGTCTTTATCTTGACTGTATCCCTCTTTTGATCAATTTCTTGATCATATTCGTAAGAAAAATGTCTATTTATTACACATTTGAAATCATCAATCAATGATTGTTAGACCACCATTAGAAACCTGGAAGCACTGAAAGACACCCGCTTCGTTCTGTTATGAGACTCATCAGTGGCAGTGCGCATCCACGACTCCTGCACCTCGCAGGATTCGAACCCGAGACCTTCGGTATTGTGCACGAACGCCTAACCATCGGACCACTGAGCCGGCATCCAACGGTGTTAATGTCTAACTCTGATTGATCCACGGGTTTTGTGCCATCTCACCCATTTATCTCTGGTAGTTACTGCCTACACACGACAGTGTCGAACTCCACTGGTGGTCACGTCTTCTCAACTAGAACTCCGAGAATTTCCTCACGAACCTAGTCACTAGTGAGCAAGCACTGTTGCGATGTTTTTAATTGAATATAAGAAAATACTATACTATAGTTTCACCTCAAAAACAAAATATATGTTAATTAGTTTGCACGTCACTTGATGATAAATACAAGAGAATTATTTTACATTACCTAGATTATTCAAATACTTTTTTTAAAAAATATTGATCAAAGTGAAAAATAAACTGACAAACTTGATAAACTGTTCCTATTCAAAATCATTGAAATTGATCATTGAACACATGAATTGACCAATGATCAATGCGATGGTGTGGTGCGAGCTACTTATAAGTTGTATATGACGTGAGTGTCAACGTAATGTCTGGCAGCAGAAGATGGGAGAAGATCAAGAAAGGAAGAGTTAGAAGAACACAATGGAATTTGTATGAAACGCATGAATAGTGAGTGACAATGGATTAGATGTTTTGCAACAGGAACAGTCCAGTTCGATGTGATGAACTGATATTTTGCAAATGAACGATTTACGATATGGTTTTCCAATTTTACTGAGTAACTCTGTAATTTTCGTTGAATCATTCCGGTTACCTCACCTGTATTCTGCTTCATTACAATACACCTTTGAAGGTGTTCATGTTGGAGGCCAGACAGTTGGAACGGCAGCTGGTTAGTGCACTGCTTGGGTGGCTCGATAATTCGCTTTGAGGTGCCAGGTCCAGATGGGTAAGCCATCCTTGCCGCCCTTGCCGAGTGGGATTTGTGAGTAGTGGACTGGTTGGAGGGATCTTGTTGATTCATAAGTGCCGGGGCTGGGGCCACTGCTCGTGTGCGCGCTTTTTGGATGTCCACTTGTCTGCAGACCAATCTAGACAACATGTGCGTTCCCGTATGGGGCAAGGGTGATTACTGTTGGCTGCAGTGAGAATCCTTGTGTTTCCTAAAAAAGCAACGATGTGCATGTGCAGCAGGCTTGACCATGACTATACATGAACACCCTCAAATACAAGCCGGTACAATGGTCTAGAGGTTAAGCTTTAGCGCGCAAGACCTAAGGTCCTGAATTCGATTCTTGCCAGTTGCAAGAGTCCTGGATGCTCACCGCCGATCAGTCTGGCAGCTGTCCAGAGCTGCCAGGTTTCTAGTTATAGTCTTACAATGATTGATTCATGCTTTCAATGATAAAATAACAATCTCCATAACTCTGTTGTTTCATTTTAACTAAATTTCCCGCCATTTTCTTTTCATAGAATAATAATGAATTAACAAAACAATTATTTTATGATATTGAAACGGATGGTCGAATTCATTTAGTTTCATCGGAATTACAATCACCAAAACCATTATATTTCATTCGTTTTGCTGTATGTTATCATTCACCGAATCGACAACATATTGATTATGCATATAATGTCATTAGTGAATTATGTGAAAAATTATTAATTCAAACAAACAATTCAACTATCAATAATCAATGGAATCATTCAAATATCAATCCTATGCTACTTGATCAAGATCAAGTAAACATTGATCAATGAAATTAGTGAACTGAACTTCGATTTATTGATGTGTTTCAATTGTCAATTTATTGTATCTGTCTGTATGTTTGTTTGTTTAAAATTATTCATGTGTTTTTAATTGTAGTTTTTTGTTATCTTATCAATTCGAATGTGTAATGTGTATTGTGGCATTGTAACATGTTACACAAAACTTACAAAGTACTGTTCCATAAAAGAACTCTCATTGGTAATTTAGGCGTGATGCTACTATCTATCCATCTTTCAATGTTCAATAAGTATGGAGGCCAGTAGAATTTAAGGGTTAGATTTCCATTGATTGAACAAATGTGTATCACAATATAAAAGAGTGATTTCCACTAGTGTTTTTCATCCGCAACGGTAAGATGTGCCACATTAAAGTGTTCTGAATAAACAAATGTAGATAACTTTAGATGTTCATCATGAAATTACCAATTAAAATTACACTTTTGATATGTAATATTAACTTACTAAAAGAAAGGCAAAGTACCCAAACATTCTAGATGTTGAATACCAGTTAAACACAATGTAAAAAGATTATCACTGTACAATTCATTGATCTTCTGGGTGGGTTATCCTAACGGCTTAACTAATAAGGGTGTTAAACCAATCAACGTAATTTACTGTGAGTCAATAATCACAATGAAACCGATTGCTTTTTCAAACAGAGTTTTGGAGGTTTGTGTTTCTTACACATTTGAAATTATAAATCGATCATTGTTAGACCACCATTAGAAACCTGAAAGCACTGAAAGACAGCCGTTTCTTCCTGGTGTGGGACTCATCAGTAGTGCAAATCCACGACTCCTGCACCTCGCAGGATTCGAACCCGGGACCTTCGGTATTGTGTGCGAATGCCTAAACATCGGACCGATTAAGTCATTACACATATTAGGTAAAATTACAAGCTGACAGTAAGGAAGACAGAATTACTGTTAGTAGTAAGAATAGTAAAAATATGAAAACAAACGTGTTTTTCAATAGTTCAACATTGGGAGTAGTAGGTGAAACGTGGAGAAATAGACTTATAATAATCATCACAAAACATTAAAACAATCACGTATTAAGAAGCGCAGGATTAACTAAATAGTGAAGAATATAAACGGAAAGAGGCGGAAAATTACAAACAAATACATGATTTGAAAAAAAGAGTTGATGGCAACAAAAATTAAAAAATTTCAAAATCGTTTATTTAGTTATATCCAACCAAAGAAGGTTCAAGGGTGTGATAAATTTCTTTTGAACACGTAAATTAGGGTCGAATGTTCGGATTTCAACGACTTTTGATAGATGTAGGAGAGAGGATCGTAACACTGTTGGGAAATGATGGACGTATATGATAGATTACTCTCTATTCTAACTGCTATCAAACAGGTGTGCCAACATAGAGTTACGTGTTGTTTTTGTCTAGCCCCTTCTAAACCATGCTAAGAGATATTCACACATTTGTCGGTTCAGTTGCTTAGTAGTACACCCGATATAGCTATTTCCACAGGAGCAGCTGAATTTGTAAATGCATATTCAAGAGGCTATAATCAGGTAACTTATCCTTCGTTTTAGTAAATAACACTGATCGACTTGAGAGAGGTAACACAAGACTGGCTGCATAGAATGTTCCAATAATTACTTTCGCTAATCTATCATTCAGGAAATCGAAAGTTACATCCTAGTTGAATTGTAATTTAATGAACAGGATTTGATTGTGACCAATTTGGTCTCGTGTGATTTTATGGGTATGAGGGCGGATGTTACTTCCCGGCTGCCCACAACGTGTAAGAGTTCTTGTTGTCAGAAGGGGCACTGGCCTCGTGACTTCCGAAGGAATTCGGCTTTCATCATAAGACGTCATAACTCTTTTAAATCAAGACCTTCTAACACCTAGAGCAGAGTTTATGCGGTTTGAATTACTTTTTCTAGTTAACGTTTTTTTAGCCAGTTAGTTTTTTGCGGCACAGTGTCGCCAACCCCAATCCAAAAGCTCCTTCAGGCTTGTGACCGGTACTAGCCCAGTAGGGTCTACAGGCGGAGTTAATTTAATAAATCGAGGTAACCGTAATCTATGTACGACCTTTGAGAGCTACATAAATAAATTGATTTCGTACAAAAATCCAAGATTGGTTCATTTATCCTTCCCTTCCTAGCCATCATCAAACTGTCTCCTCACTCAAGAACCAATGAAGGGATAAATGATGAAGATATTGTAATGCAAACCTCCATATCTGAAAGATCTTTAACTAAACATGTTCATCGCTAAATAGATGAACAACTACATCACAGACCACTTTAATCTACAGAATAAAATCTGTGCCAAAAATAAGGCATTTTATAGTGAAAATCGGGATACAATAAGTTGGGAACAGGCTAAGAAGTGACTATAGCTTTTTAAATCGAATAAAAACTTACGATCATGAGAATAAGGCAAACACTTGAAACAAAGGTAATAGTGTCCCGAAAAATAATTTAGACAGTTTACCATTCTTCAGTGTTTTGCTCGTCATAGCACGAAAACTGCAATAAACTTGAATTTTAAAGAATAACACAAGTACAACTGAACATACATTTTTTCCAGTTAGATCATCATACCTTTATACACAGTATTATTTTCACTAAAGGTTTGTGAATATTGTTGAGATTCAATGCTCAAACCATCATTAGAAACCTGTAAGCACTGGACGGCCGATTCGTTCTAGTATGGGACTTGGCAGCCCCGCATTGGCGACAGTCGATCCTGTACAAGAACGCATAACCTCTAGTACATGGATGTACGTTAAATATTAAGCCTATCATGGCAGCTTATTAGTCAGTGATAAGAATGAAATTAGATTACGTAACTAAATATCATACATAAATAGTTATCGATGACATTGTTAATGATAGCAGTACTAATAGTGATTTTCACACCAACTATGAAATACAATTTAAAAATTCAAACTGTGAAAAGATACATTTTCTAAGACGTGAAAGCAAATGCAAAAATATTTCACATCCTCTTCTAGAAGATTTGGGATGAGGAACAAGTACTATCAGACTGGAATGAATGATTCCTCATCAAAATATCAAAGAAAGGCGATCTCTGCAAGTGTGAGAACTACAGAAGCATCACTCTTCTTTCAGTAGCAGGCAAAGTCTTCAACAGGGTATTGTTAAACAGAATGGAGGACTCCATAGACGCCCAACTTCGAGATCAACAGGCCGGATTTCGTAAGGATCGATCGTGTCGCGTTCATACTGCTACGTTACGGATCATTGTGGAACATTTAACTGAATGGAATCCACCACTCTATATCAGCCTCATCGACTACGAGAGAACATTTCATAGCACGGACAGGACGGCACAATGGGGCTTCTTCGACACTACGGGGTGCCTGAGAAAATAGCTGACATCATACGGAATTCTTATGATGGATTAAACTGCATATTCGTGGACAAAAGACAGCTGACCGACTGGTTCGAGGTAAAGACTAGTGCCAGGCAAGGTTGCTTACTCTCACCCTTTCTCTTTCTCCTGGTCATCGACTGGATTATGATGATGTTAGCATCTGAAGGAAAGCACGCTATTCAATGGACAGTCAAGATGCAGCTGGAACATTTGGACTTTGCAGATGATCTGGCTCTTCTATTGCACATACAACAAAAAATGCAACAGAAGATGGCCAGTGTAGCAGCAGCCTCAGCAGTAGCAGGTCTCAACATACATAAAGGGAGAAGCAAGATTCTCTGATACAACACAACATACGTCAACTAAATCACACTTGATGGAGATTCTTTGGAGGAAGTTAACACCTTTACATATCTGTGCAGCATCAGCGACAATCAAGGTGATTCCGATGCAGATGTGAGGATGCGGATCGGAAAAGCAACGGGCTGCAGTTCTACAATTGAACAGTATCTAGAACTCGAAACTACTGTCATTCAACACCAAAATCAGAATTTTCAATACAAATGTCAAGACAGTTCTACTGTATGGATTCGAAACTTGGAGAACTACCGAAGCCATCATCCAGAAGATAAAGGTATTCATTAACAGTTGTCTACGCAGACTACTTCGGATTCGTTGATCCGACAGAAGCAGGAACAACGTACTGTGAGAGAGAACAAACCAGATTCCAGCGGAGTTGGAAATCAGGAAGAGGCGGTGGAAGTGGATAGGACACACACTACGAAAAGCACCTAACTGCGTCAAAGGACAGGCCGTTACTTGCAACTCTCAATGTTAGAAGGAAAGAGGAAGGCCAAGGAACACATTACACCGAGGGATAGAGAAAGACATGAGAAAGATGAACAGAAAGTGGACAGAACTGGAAAGGGAAGACCAAGACAGAGTTGGTTTGAGAAAACTGGTGGGCGGCCAATGCTCCATTGAGGAGTAGCAGGCGTAAGTAAGTAAGTAAGTAATTTGAACAGATCTAATTCAGATATTATTGTGATTGAACTTTGATGAGAAAATTCATAATGAGAAGTGTAAAATGCACAACAAAGATGAACTTATCTTAAATTACTGCGTTATTTGCAAATAAAAAAGACAATGCCACACAGTGACAATCACAAATCTTGTAATCATCTCATTTTTTCTTGTAAACAAAATGATAAATCATGTGTTAACTCTCTCGTAGCATTCTTTGTTAACGTGTATCAACTGCAGATTTATGTGAGTTTTATAATGTTAACCATAGAAAGTAGTGTGGTGTGAGCTACTTATAAGTAGTATATGACGTGAGTGTCAACGTAATGTCTGGCAGACGAGAAGATGGAGGAAGATCAAGAAACGAAGAGTTAGAAAACAATGGAATTTGTATGTAACGCATGAACAGTGACATTGGATTGATGTTTTGCATCAGGAACAGTCCAGTTCGATATGATGGGCTGATATTATGCAAATTCACGATTTACGATATAGTTTTCCAATTTTACTGAGTCACTCTGTAATTTTGGTTAAATACAATCCGGTTGCCCCACCTGTGTTCTCGCTCACTACAGTATCGTTGAAACAGTTTGACTAA